CTGGAAGGTGCCCACAAGTCGAGCCTTGGGCAATTCCTTCACTGGTATGGGGGCTGTGTGGACCCCAGCGGGTAGCTGACTCATGCTGCGGCAACCTGGAATGGTGCTCTCTCAGGGCAGACAACTCCTCCGGCTGCTCCAGTGCAGTGCTGTCATCCCTGTGAGGTACATCCGGGTCCTCAGGCACATGGCATCAGGAAGAGCAGTGGAGCTGGGCCCAGGTAGGTTGAAGCAGGACCAGGCCGGGGGCTAGGCCAGGGGCTTCTGTGGGCAGCAGTCACCAGGACCTCCTCTCATACTCAGGTGGGAGCCAGGAGTTGAGTGGCAGAAGGGACCCAGAGACCCTGTGGGGCCATGGATGGAGGCCAGGCATTGTGGGACCTGGATTCAACCAACTGGCTCAAGAAGGTGTCCAGGATCTAGGATCCATTGCCTGGACCTAGATGTTTCCCTCCTCCTGGAGCAGCCCAATTCACTCCCACTTCAGGGCCTCCATCCCCACCCATTGCTCCCACTGTGACTACTCCTGCACATCCTCCCAAGTGGTCTCCCAGGTGATATTCTACACCCACCAGGCCTCTGCTCTTCTGCCACCACCAGAAGTCACTGAAGCAGGACAGTCCTATACTTGTGTACCACAGGTGCAGCTGATGTACCCAGATGGCTCCAGTGCTGAGTGGCAGTGACAGAGCTCGCCTCCCTGCTGGGCCTGGTGGGCACTCCCCTGCATCCAGATGTTGGCCCTGCAGAGGCAAGAGAAAGAAGGCTTTTGTGAGAGTTTGTAACATTTCAGAGATAAGATGTTCTGTACTAGGAGCTGAGCATGGCTCAGCCTCAGATCAGGGTTTGGCTATGCACAGGCACACAGGGACCATGGTAAGTTGGCTGGGCAGGCCTAGGCCTAATTAACCACCAGCCGAGCCACCCATCCCCACTTTTTCTTGTGGGACCAGCAGCATGTTTGGTGCTGGTTGCAGGCACCTGCCTATCATGACCCCTTCCCAGGGTGGGACAGCCCAAGCTGGTGGCAGCACCTGCTGCTGGAGCCCACACTCCCCACTGGGAGCACCTCTGGGGAGACGACCTGGGGCCACCCCACACACACGACCACTGTGCCCTTAGTGTGCCCTTGCTGCACATACTCTGGGTAGTGAATGATGAGATGTTTATGCAGGCAAAGGGGTGACTGGGCTATTGTGTTCTGCTGCTGTTCATCTTCCTGGTTCCCTGGGCACACCTACACTCCTGGTTTGGGACACTGGTTTGGGACACTGAGCTAGGATGTTGTTGGGGGCAAGCCTGGGCTGTCCCACAACCTCTTCTGTAACATGAAGAGCAACCTGTGGCAGCACTATACATCCCAAACCCCCCACTGCTGAGAAAGGCATTGCTTCCAGCATTGACACCCCCCCTTGGGATGTCATAGGCCCATGCCCGCCAGTTGCAAGGGCACAGTCTGCTGAATAATGTTCTGAACTGTGCCCCACCTCTGTATGCTCTGGGGGGATGCACATGGAGTTGGGAGTGTGCAGGCAGGACAAGCAGGGAGTGGGGACAGGGACCAGAACCAGGGA